GCCCTGGAGCCTATGCCCAATTCCTTGCTGACCTATGGGAGGAGTGCTCTCTGGTGCCCCTAGTGGTAGTAGCCAAGAGTCTCCATAGGATCAGAAAGGGAGCCTGCAGGCTGGAAATCTTTCAGTACATTTCCAAAAATATTAATGGAACATGCGGCACAAAAGCAACATAGGTGATCCCAGGAACTTTAAAAAAAAAAAAACAACTTGAATTTCCTCATAGAAAAGCCTGCTTCCACCTATGAAGGTGGCATCACAGATCAGAGATAGCTCAGGACTGCTAGCAAATAAGTCTTGTAGCTGCTGGGCTGGTTATAGCACCATGGTCAGGGAAGTATTGTTGAAACATGAAGAAGTAGTCAGGTGCTGGTGGCTCATACCTGTAATCCTAGCTGCTCAGGAGGCTGAGATCTAAGAATCAGAGTTTGAAGCCAGCCAGTGAGACTCTTAACCAGTGAAAAGCCAGAAGTGGAGGTGTAGCTTAGTGGTTGAGTGCCAGCCTTGAGTAAAGAAGCCAGGTAAGAACACAAGACCCTGAGTTCAAGCCCCATTCTATACTGCGCATGTGCGCGCGCACAACCACTCAGCAAAGCATTTCTGCTGTCCTCTCAGACTGAAAGACCTGGGGGAGCCTTCATGGAGATCCAGTGTGGGTCCTCTTTTGCCAAGACCTCTCGTCTCATTTGCAACGAGGACATCTAGCTCTGGAGATGATGCTGGGATTCTGATGGCCAGGTGGGGGAGACAGCTTGGGGTGGGGGAGTCACTCATCTTGATGAATCTATCCCCAGAAGAAAAGGTACCCTGGGGTCGGTGGCACAGGCTGCCCAGGATGGGCCAGTTCAGGTGGCATTCCATTTCTCTGAGGGTAGAATGATGGGACCTTCAAGCTTTGAGGTCTGACAGGTAAATATGGAAATCCTCATATTCACTAGCTGGTGTTAATCTTTATTTTTCAAAAGAGGAATGGTAACACATCTACCGTGGCTGGATAGTTAAAAGAGTGTGGAATGAGGCATCAAGTATACTATGTGCTTGGTTCATGCTTAGTCCTGCATTTATCAAGAGCATAATGATGGCCCTGGTGTTCTCCTGGGAAACACCTGTGTAGCACCTGAAGCCTGCTTGGTTCAGGTCCAGGCTTTGGGAAGATGCCAAGAACAAAACCCTGAGGAAGTTTTGAAGGGAGGCAGCGGATCAACTGTGTGGGAAGTATTGCACCAGGGAAGTGCAGACATGGTGGACAGGGACAGGAGGTCCCAGAAAAGGCCTTCTAGACAAAGTACTGTCTAAGCTGAAATATAAAGAAAGATTAGCCAGGTTTGAGGAGGGGGCAGGGTAGTGAAAGAGCTTCAAGTCACTCAGTCTTAGAATAGGACTCAATGCAGATGGGACAGCCGGGCACTGGTGGCTCACACCTGTAATCCTAGCTCCTTAGGAGGCTGAGATCTGAGGATCGTGGTTCAAAGCCTGCCGGGGCAGCAATGTCGGTGAGACTCTTATCTCCAATAAACTACTCAGAAAAAACTGGAAGTGGCTCTGTGGCTCAAGTGGTAGGGAGCTAGTCTTGAGCAAAAGCAGCTCACGGACAGCACCCAGGCCCAGAGTTCAAGCCCCAGGGCTGGCAACAAACAAACAAACAAAAAAATCAGATGAGATTCAGGTGATAAAACACAATCTTGTACCTCAGAGCAAGATATGGGGACTGAGCTTCCGGCCTTTCACACCCACTTGGCATGCTTGCTCTGTTGGCTCTCTACTACTTGAGACACTCTCCCAGCCCAGCTTTTTGCTCTGTATTTGGGGATCCAGTCTCACAGCCTTTTCTGCCTTTACTAGCCTTGAACTGCAAACTTCAGGAGCTTAGCCTCTTGAGCATCTAGGATTATAGGAATGAACTACTAACACTTTGAGGTTCTTTTTTTTTTTTTTTTTTGGCCAGTCCTGGGGCTTGAACTCAGAGCCTGGGCACTGTCCCTGAGCTTCTTTTTGCTCAAGGCTAGCAACTCTACCACTTGCGCCACAGAACCACTTCTGGCTTTTTCTGTGTATGTGGTACTAAGGAATCGAACTCAGGGCTTCATGCATGCTAGGTGAGCACTCAACCACTAAGCCACATTCCCAACCACTCTGAGGTTTGTAAAAGCCAGTAGAGAAGTGTTTTCCAGCCTGGACTGTTGGCTCCAGAAATGAGAGAATCTGAGGCATGGAGCCATCTCTCCTTTCAAGGTGGGACTATTAAAGATATTTCCAACTCAATTCTTCTTCTCTTCCACCTCATCCTTGCTTTTCTGGTCGATCATGAGGTTCTGTGGTACCCACCCCCATTCCATTCAGTTAGTGCTGTGTGCTGATGGTGGTCAGGAGAGAGGTCTCAGGGCCTCTTTCTTAGGGAAGTTCCTAAGAAAGTGCCCTACGGGTACGGATGGAAGGACTGAGAACCTGCCTGCCCAGGAGAGGGTGGGGAGGAGAGACAGACAGCTCCTTGCAGGGGGTGATCAGGCACCTGGATCCCTAGCAACTATGGACAGGTTAGGCCTAGGCCATTGGAATTGGGCCCCGGGTGTTGGAGTTGGGCCACTTGCCTGGATCCTGTCTTCTGTCCTCTCCTGTCTTTGCTCTCCTTTCTACAAAGACTTAACCCATTCTGCTTTTGACGCATTCACAAAAATAATGCTGAGAATAATCCCTAGAGAGGAAGAAGAATAAACAAGCTTTAAAAATGCAAAAGGAAATGCGTCCTTTATTTAAAAATAATAGTGGGGAAAAAATGCAGGGGAGGGCCTCAGCCAATTCCCTTGAGTGAAACTTTCCAGCTGCTGTGACAGAAGGTCACAGAGTCCTCAGGGCTCTAGGGGAAACCTAAGGGTGGGAGGTTCCAGTTGGGATTCAATATGGGTTCAACTAAGAGTGAGGGCCAGGCTCAGTGGCCACCATGAGAGATCCAAGTCTTCAATTTTATCCAGCCTGCGGACAGCTTGGCTAGGGGAAGCTGGCAAAGACAACATAGGGCTGCTGGACCTGGAAGAGCAGGGCTAAGAGAAAGATCTCCACAGGCATGAAGTACAGAGAGGCCCAGGACTGAGAGGAAAATCTTCAAGGTCATGGCTGGCTGAACTAGACTTGGAGGCCCAACCAGGATTTCATGTACTCAGAGGCCCCCAGGTAGAGTGAACAACGTAAGCACAGGCCACGGTAGGAAATCCCTCAATGCTTTAAGGACAAAGATGTCCAATCTTCTGAAACATGTATTTATTTACTTGACAGGAGTTTTACCCCCCTTTGTTTCCTATGCTGGTACTGGGGCTTGAACTCAGGGCCTGGGCCCTGTCCCTGAGATTTTGTGCTCAAGGCTATTGCTCTACCATGTAAGCCACAGCTCCACTTCCAACTTTTTGGTGGTTAATGGAGAGAAGAGTCTCACAGACTTTGTGTGTGTGTGCCCCAGCTGACTTGGAACCAGAATCCTCAGATCTCAGCCTCCTGACTACTCAGACCACCAACACTCGGCTAACTTACCAGTTTTATTGTGATATATCTCACACACATACCATAGACTCCACCTACTGAGTATCTATAATTTACTACCGTGTAATACCATGGTTATTTATAGCATCATTTTAGAATGTCTTTATTAATCCTCAAAGAAAACATGGCTCCATTAGCAGTCAACCCCATTCCCAAGCTCTATTCTGTAACTGATCTGCTTTCTGTTTCTAGACTGACTTGTTCTGGACATTTCCTATAAACAGAAGCATACATAGCCTGTGAGTCTGGCTGCTTTCATTTACTGATTTCAAGGCTCATCTATACCATTTTTTTCCTTTTCGTCCTATTCTTTGATTTCATTCTTTTTCTTTCTGGTTGCATAGTATTCCTAGATCAATACTAGGATGTGGTGTGGGCATATCACATTCTTGTCTGTCCATTCCTCAGTTGATGGATGTTGTCTACTTTGATCCATCCTCACTCAGAGGCAGGGATGTGTGAGGGTCCACGTAGAACTGTTCCCTGCCCCTGTCCCTCCTCCCTGCCCCCCAACATCACTGTGTCATGCCTGGCAGCTCTTTACAAGGCAGAAAAGAGTCAGAATAGCTGGTATTGTTCCTGCAAATCAAGTATCTTATTTTCCTGTGGCCTGCTGAGGGCCAAAGTTAGTTAAACACACAGAGAAGTACAAACTGTATGTTAGGTTAGAGGAGGGAATTTCAACAACAAGAAGTTGCTGGCCCAGGGAGAGACTTGGTCAGGACTGCCAAGGCCCACAAGTCAAGGGTGAACCAGGGCTAATCTGTGGTGTCCACCCCATACACACACACACACACACACACACACACACACACACACACACACACACACACACACACACGGCTGAAACTTTATTTATAGGCAATGTTGCCAGTATCTCGCTGCTGTTCCCATTCAAAGATGAGGACATATCTTTAATGACTACATTAAAGGCATCTGCCATTCAGGGACAGGAAGGAAACTAAGTAGCTGGGCGTCGGTGGCTCATGCCTGTAATCCTAACTACTCAGGAAGCTGAGATCTGAGGATCGCGGTTCAAAGCCAGCCCGGGCAGGAAAGACTGTGAGACTCATATCTCCAATAAATCACTAGAAAACCGGAAGTGGTGCTGTGGCTCAAGTGGTAGAGCGCTCGCCTTGAGCTGAAGAGCTGAGGGACAGCGCCCAGGCCCAGAGTTCAAGCCCCATGACTGACAAAAAAAAAAAAAGAAAGAAAGGAAACTAAGGCTAAATTCTCCAGGTTTGCTGCCAGCATCAGCCAAGCCCTGGCTTTTGTGTTCTGCCTCGTTTGGAGTTCATAGGAGAAAATACGAAAACAAGGGAGTTATGCTGTTTCAGTCTCCTAAAAATAGAAGACCAAATTCCACCCTAACCCAAAGCAAAAACACAAGCCAGGGCTTTAATTACCACCTTTTCTTTTCTTCCTTCCTGTTTTATTTTTTGTTTTGTTTTGTTGTTGGTTTTCTTCTCCAGCCAGAAAATATTATGTTGTTAGACAAGAATATTCCCATTCCACACATCAAGCTGATTGACTTTGGCCTGGCTCACGAAATAGAAGATGGAGTTGAATTTAAGAACATTTTTGGGACGCCGGAATTTGTTGGTGAGTTTTTAGGCCTGTTACTTTCTCAGCTGGGAAGCTGACATCCAAAGAGTTGAGAACAGCCAGGTTCTGGTGGCTCACAGCTATCTGGAATCTTAGCTACTCAAGAGGCTGAGATCTGAGGACCGTGGTTGGAAGCCAGCCCAGGCAGGAAAGTTTATGAGACTCTTATATCCAGCTAACCACAAAAAGCTGGAAGTAGGAGCTGTGGCTCAAGTGGAAGAATGAGTAAAAGAAGTTCAGGGACAATGCCAGGCCCTGAGTTCAAGCCCCAGGATTAGCCTCACACACACCTAAAAAAAAATTGGGAACAAAAAGAAATCCCAGAAACAAGCCTCCTAGGGCTGTGGTCTCAGGACTCATGATGAGAGATGGTACCTAATGGGTAAGAAGGAAGAAAGTATCTGCTAATGGAATGTCCGAGCAGGATTGGGTCTGAGTGTCCAATGGGACAAGGCGGGGCTGGAAAGCTTTGTAGAGTTCAGACTTCCAGAACTGACTTTACCCACTTCTGACTCTTTAGATGAGTTTATTATGTGGATTTAAAAATCACCCTCAGCCTTGGCTGGGAATGTGGCCTAGTGGTAGAGTGCTCCCCTAGCATGCATGAAGCCCTGGGTTCATTTCCTCAGTACCATATGCACAGAAAAAGCCGGAAGTGGCGCTGTGGCTCAAGTTGCTAGCCTTGAACAAAAGAAGCTCAGGGACAGTACCCAGGCCCTGAGTTCAAGCCCCAGGACTGGCAAAAAAAAAAAAAAAAAAAAATCACCTCAGCCTCCCACAGACTCAGCCTTCTCTGGAGTAGCTTTTGGTTTCTAGCAAAGGAAAAAAGCAATCATCTGCCAGATGCCCAGTCTACCACCTACCTCCCCTGGGTGCCCACCTGTATTCATTCCTGGAAATGCCCAGCTCCAGAGTGCCCTGGCCACTCTCTTCCTTCTATGCCCCTCCCCTTTTGTCCAAATCCCACCTATCCTGAACCCTTGATGCTCTCTTATAAGGCTTGGGCCAGAAAAGTTGGGGAACACAAAGAAATATCCCTAAAAGAGGAAACAAATGAGTTCCTAGCTGTTTTGTTTGCTTATTTGTTGTTTTCTTTTTTTTTTCCCCAGTAGAGTCTTGCAAACTTTTCTGCTTGGGCTAGCCTTGAACTAAATTTCCTCCCAATCTCAGTCTCTCGGGTAGCTCAGAACTCCTTGTAGAGTAGGCCTCAAAACTTGCGATCCTCCTTGTATTCCTCCCTCCCAAATGCGGGGGTTTACAGGTATGAGCTACTACACATAGCCTGCTCTGGAATCTTTCCGTTGACACGTGAAGTCTGAGTTCTTCCTCATTGTACTCATTTCCCTGCCAACCCTTTGAGAGGTCATGGACAATTTGATTTCTGTTTTCTTCCTCTGGACACTCTTCATGCTTACCACACCTCGCTCTCTGGTGCTCTACGCTTCATCTGCTCCTCTTCTGTCCTTGGCAGAGCACTCTTCTGGTTACCATGTAATTGGCTCAGCTCTTATTTCTACCTGGGCCTCGGTGACTCCAAGTCTGATGACTCTGACCCACTCTCCTATCACTAGCTTTCTTCTAGCTGCCTGTCAAGGTCATCATCTCATGACAGCCATCCCAAGAAGGAAATCTGCCCCTCAGGAGGGAGGTACTTCAATCAGACCAAACTCAGAGGAAGAGGCTATTCCTTTGCTTTTTCATTTCCCTCCGGCACTGGCCTGCTGGTATCCATGGGACATTTCCAAAACTGATCTTGTCAAGCTAAGTGCTGGAGGCCTCACCCCTGTAATCCTAACAACTCAGGAAGCTGAGATCTGAGGATCATGGTTCAAGGCCAACCTGGGCAGGAAAGTCTGTGAAACTCTTACCTCCAAAAGAATACCAAAAGGCCAGACATGGAGCTGTTACTCACATGATAGAGCACTTAGACAAGAGTAAAGGAAGCTCAGGGACAGTACTTAGGGCCTGAGTTCAAGCCCCAGGATGGTACAAAGAAACAGCAAGAATTAAAGAAAAAAGGACAGTTCTTGTCACTAGAGCTCCATTTTTCCTTCTTATCCTTTGTTTCTTTCTTATTCTTCTTTCTCTTTCAATTCAGGTGATTCTGTGTACCACACATTCCCCTCCTCCTCACTAGAAAGTTGGCCATAGGCTTCAACCAAGTTAACAGGTAGTGCATGTCTGAGTGTGTGTAGGTTGCCATAACAAAATACCTTAGACAGGATAGTTTATAAACAACACACCGTGTTACTCACAGTTCTAGGGGCTTGGCAGCCCAAGGCAGAGGCAGACCAGTGTCTCACCTTCTACCTATGGCCTCGTGGGGCACAAGGAATAACATAGGGAACTGGTCCCAATCCTACAGGGTCTATTTTCCTGCCCTGGTCACCTCCTGAATCCTTTACGTCTTTATTCTAGTGCACTTGAGATTAGGGTTCAACATGTGAAACACTTGCAGAAACAAAACATTTCAACCATGACAACTTCTTCCCCCATGCCCTTTCCCTCCCCTTCTCTCCTTTCCCTAACTAGATCAGGCTAATCTCAAACTGGCAGCCTTCCCGCTAATACCTTCCAAGTGCTGGGATTACGGGTGGGCCGTACCCTACCCAGCTTGGGCTGTAGCAACGTCTTTCCTTAAAATTCACAGATCTCGGTTGCCTCCATCTGCTGCTTGGGTTTCCTTACTGGAGATTTAGGATGGAGACATTTGGTGGTGCCGCATTCCCTAGAGGTCCATTCTAAACATCTCCTCCTGTTTTTCTACCTCTTCTCCACTCCTGAATGTGACTTCTTTTCAGCTCCAGAGATCGTGAACTACGAGCCCTTGGGACTGGAGGCAGACATGTGGTAAGGGGATCCTTCCCTGGGTGGAAGCCCTTAGATCCTGCTCCAGGTGTGACATCTCCTTGACCGTGAGATTCCCTTTCTCCACGCTCACCTTTTAGAGCTTCCGCTGCTCTAGTTGTGTGGGTGCTGCATCAGTCTGGGAACACTGCAGAGATCAGTTCTGTGCACGGAAATGGCATGGCTGCTTTATAGTTGGCTGAGTGCCTGGGTTTTCTACAATCCTGACAGCAGTCGTATGAAGGTGGTTCTTATTAGCCTCGATTATGGAAAAGAGGCTCAGAGGTGATAAGGGACATGCTGGAATACCAGCGCTTACCAGTATGGGGTCCATAGATTCAGTATATAGACTTATACCACTTCTGAAGAGTAGGATGGAGAAGATTGTGGGCTGGGGATGGCATGGTGGAGGGGCGGTGCCTGGAGAAAGAGGAAGACTGCAGTCCTGACTCAATTCTTCTTTGTTTGCAGGAGCATTGGGGTCATTACCTACATCCTGTGAGTATCTCGGATCCTTGGGGCTCCAATCCAGCTTAGACCGGGATGGGGACAGGTGGGGATGGGAGAGGGTAGGCAGAGAGATAGATTGACATTTACAGAGAACCCATCATAAGCTAGGTATATTAAACCTACCCAGCAAACCTGAGGCTGAGTGCTCTGAGCTCCATTCCTTTCACCCTTCATTCACTTTACCCTGGGGCTGAAGTCGAGCAGGGATCCAGAGGTATATCTGCCCTCCTGCTTTAGCCCGTGTCGTGTCTCTGCATTTCTGCCGAGAATGCCAGGGCTCCCTGTCCAGACTCTTCCAGTTCACTGTGGGAATGCCACGGGAGTCAGGAGCCTTAGGATAAGACTGGAGGTGTGGCTCAGTGGTAGACCAGTAGCCGTGGTTGGGAAACAGACAGACAGACACAGATAGAGATAGACAGAGACACAGAAAGACAGAGAAAGAGAGATAGAGACACACACATACACTCTTTTGGAACAATCATGAAGCAGCCTTTGCCTGCTCCTCCCTGCTCCTTCTTTTTTTCCCTCCCTATCCCTCATCCTTTCCCCAAGTCCCCGTTTCTTTCTTTCCTGTCCTGGGTATCTAGTTGCTTGAAGCAGAGATCTCCTGCCTTATTTGCTCACCAGGCCTCACCTGGAGCTGGAGACCCCATGCTCTTACTTTCTGGCCTGGTGGCCTTTGATGGGAGATTTACCTTTAGGCCTGTTTCTTAAATCAGAAAAATAAGAGTCCCAAATGTCCTGCTGCAGGAAGTGGGTGGATAAGTACTGTGTGCACATACTCCTAGGCCTGTGCTGTGGTGTCCCTGGCAGGTAGAGGGGATTCAACCTGCCTTCCAGCCCTTCCCCTCACAGAAAACATGCAAACGTGGGAGACACTATTTTTGTGTGTGTGCCATTCCTCGGGTTTGAACTCAGGGACTGGGGGATGTCCCTGAGCTGCTGCTGCTGCTCCTTTTTCTTTCTTTTTTTTTTTTTTGGTGGGTCATTGGCCTGAACTCTGGGCTGGCACTGTCCCTCTGCTCTTCAGCTCAAGGCTAGCACTCTACCACTTGAGCCACAGCACCACTTCGGGCTTTTTCTGCTTATGTGGTGCTGAGGAATCGAACCCAGGGCCTCATGCGTGCAAGGCAAGCATTCTACCACTGAGCCACCTTTCCAGCCCTGTCCCTGAGCTTCTTTTGCCTAAGGTTACCCTCTACCACTTGAGCCACAGTTCTATTTCCAGCTTCTTGGTGGTCATCTAGAGATAAGAGTCTCAACGACTTTTTCCCTAGGCTGGCTTTGAACCACGGTCCACAGATTTCAGCCTCCTGAATAGTTAGGATTATGTGCCTGGTTAGGAAATGGTATTTTTATGGCATGCTAGGGTTAATGTGGGCCCATAGCCACCAGTGTTCCACAGGGATCATTTTCTAAAGACCCCCATAAATCAGCACATGGGCTGGGCTGGTATAACAATATGGTGAGCTCTCCTCCCCTGAGCTGTATGTAGCAAGGGGGTTCAAACCCTGACTACTTGGTAGAGCTTTTTTTTGCGGGGGGGGGAATGCCTGTACTAAGGCATAAACTTAGGCTTTTCTTATACACCCTTGGCTTCTCAGCCCTCCTGAGTAGCTAGGATTAAAGGCATGAGCCACTTCAACTTCTGAAGCACTCAAAAGCCAAAGTCTCTCTCCATTGGGTCCTTAGCAGGAGCTATGTAAGGTGTGTTGAACTGCACTGCATTGCAAAGTCTGAGGGTTGGCTGCCCAGAGAGGGCAAGCTGGGCTGCCAGGCACCTCCCACACTGCCATGCGCAGTACAGGACAGGGTTCCTGGGAGTCTATTGCTCCCATTGCCATCCAGTTTCCCACAGTCATGTGGCTGTTTCTCTGTTGTACTCAGCCTAAGTGGAGCCTCCCCTTTCCTGGGAGACACGAAGCAGGAAACACTGGCAAATATCACAGCAGTGAGTTACGACTTTGATGAGGAATTCTTCAGCCAGACTAGCGAGCTGGCCAAGGACTTCATTCGGAAGCTTCTGGTGAAAGAGACCCGGTAAGAAGACAGAGGAGAAAAAAAAAAAATCAGTAGTTTCTCAGGTACTGATTCTCTTCTGCCCATCTCAGAACTGTGTCAGGCTGACCTCGCTGGCCCACAGCTGATACCTGTGCCACTGAACTCTCACACCGGACAGATGCTGTGGCTGCCCTTCATCTTGTTTGCTCAAGTCTTTCTGCCCTCTGCTGAAAGAACAAGATTATATATCTGTGTGTGTCTGCGCCTCCTTGCTGCGCATGTGTGTTTGGAAGCCAACCCATAGTTCTCAGGGCTTCTGCAGTCTGATCCAAAGGCACCTGGACCTCAGATAGAGCCTCACATGGTTCAGATTCTGCCTGCATACAGAGCAGTGAAGGGCACAGGGAAGACAGAGAGTATGGGCTTAGCCATGGAGAACTGGCTTTTGGGAGGTTCTGAAAGAATCGTGCATTTTACAACACTCCATGAGAGTTGCTGCTAGGCCTTTTGGCTTTGGAACTGAAGGTGAAGGTTAGATGGGAAGATCTCTCTATTGAGGATCTTCCAGGAGTGTGGGAAATTCAAACTGCTTCATGGCTATCTTGGTTTCCCCCACCATGCCGTTTGGATGGCTTAGTTAACGAATTCCAGATTCAGAATGCTGTTCCCAGGGCCTGCCCACGTGGATGGTCACCACTTTCTAATCTTTGTTGCAGGAAACGGCTCACCATCCAAGAGGCTCTAAGACACCCCTGGATCACGGTAAGGGCACAGTGGTGATTTCCAGTGATCAGGACTGTTCTGTCACCAAGACTGGCCATGGTAGCTAAATGCAGAGGACCCATGGGAAGAGTGTTGCTTGGCTCTTGGGCACAGATGACAGCTAGTCTGGGACCCCCAAGAGGATTGAGCTTGTTTAAATAGGGTTCTGCTACCTTAAGTTTATATTTTATGTGTTCACCTTGCTTATGAAATGAAACCCTCATAACTCTCAGGCTCATGCCTTGTAATCTTTGCTATCCAGGAGGCTGAGATCTGAGAATTGTGGGTCAAAGCCAGCCTTGGCAAAAGTATGTGAGACTCTTATTTCTACCAAAGTGGAAGTGGAGTTGTGGCTCAGGTGGTAAGAGTACTAGCCTTAAGCACAATGCACCCAAGCCTTGAGTTCAAACCCCAGGATTCACACACACACACACACACACACACACACACACATACACACAATCTCAGTTGAACTTTTTCCCTTTGAGACCATCTTATAAAATGTTCTTTGACCTTGGGGCATGTCACCATCATTTCTCAAAGCAAAAAGCAGGACGCTTGGGTGGTAATGAACAAATCTTGATGTAGCTCCTTCTTTCTGACTTTTGGCATCCTGAATAGAAGATGACATTCAAATCCATCACATAGCTTTCTCCAGGCACCACAAGGACTGAGGAACTGGGCCTTGAGACAGAGAGAGGCAATTCTGTTCCCACTTAGGATGGTGGAGACAACAAAGTGAATCTCTGCCTTGCTTCTTTTTTTCTTTTTCTTCTTTTTTTTTCTGGTCGTGGGGCTTGAACTCTGGGCCTGGGCGCTGTCCCTAAGCTCTTCAGCTCAAGGCTAGTAGTCTACCACTTGAGCCACAGCACCACTTCCGGTGGTTAATTGGAGATAAGAGTCTCATGGACATTCTTGCCCGGGCTGGTTTTGAACTGCAATCCTCAGATCTCAGCTAGGATTACAGGTGTGAGCCAGCAGCTCCTGGCCTCTTGCTTTCTTTTTAATCAAGGCTCCAGCTGCTGTTTTTCAGAGGGTCTCACCATCTGGTATAGTAAAGATCACCTTGGAAGGCTGACACTCTGAGACTAGGGTTGTCTGAGCACTCCCCAGACTTCTGATGCAGTTGATGGTTCAATGAGAAGGCTAGTGAAGATGATCCCATGCAGATAATAAAGAGGGCAGAGGCCTATGGGTAATGGGAAACAAGAAGGGTTGGAAGAATCTGAGAGGAGGTCAAATTCACTTCCTCTTGGAAGAGAAGGAAAGGCCAAGGATTCTCTAGATGGGGGGTGAACTCAGATCCCAGCACTAGGGAGTCTCTTGGGCTCCTTCCTGATGAGCATGCTGAGTGTTTCCAAGGCCCAAGGAACGCTGAAAGAGAGACACCCATCAGCCTCCCTCTGCCAGCTGTGGCCTGATGTGCTCCAGCCCTTGCGTGGATGTGTGTGTAAAATCCTGCTGCAGCCTGCTTGTCTGCATGAAGCCCCTTAAGTGCTGTGCATCTGGGAAGACTCCCTCTAATGGGTTGGACCCCTCTGCTCTGGCGTGAGTATGCAGGCAGCACCCCCACACTCCTTGACCTTTCTGATGGTCTGTGGGGGGTGTCAGCCCCACCCTGGCTCTCCCCACTGCCTGATACATGCCGTGACTGCCAAGAGGCCATGCACGTGCCTTCTGCCTGCAGCTTGGCCTGCCCTTTGGAACCTCCCCCACATTAATATTCTGGTTCTTCTGTCTGAACACCTTGCCAGTCCAAAGGAGAGGTCAGAGCTCCTGAACAGCGGAAGACACAGCCCACCCAGCTGAAGACCAAACGCCTGAGAGAGTATACCCTCAAATGCCACTCAAGCATGCCCCACAACAACTCCTATGTCAACTTTGAGCGTTTTGCCCACGTGGTAGAGGATGTGGCTCGGGTGGATCAGGGATGTCGTGACCTGGCAGAGGCTCATGACACTCTCCAGGATGATGTGGAGGTCCTGGTCTCCATCTACAATGAGAAGGAGGCTTGGTACCGAGAAGAGAATGAGAAGGCCCGGCATGACCTGTCCCAGCTCAGGTACGAGTTCCGGAAGGTGAAGTCCTTGAAGAGACTCCTTCGAGAAGACATCCAAGTGGCAGGATCCAGCCTGGGAGGCGTGGCTAGGAAGCTGGACCATCTGCAGGCCCAGTTTGAAGCTCTGAGGCGGGAGGTGTCAGCAGACCTCCAATGGATGCAGGAACTGGTGGGAGGCTTCCAGCCGGAGAGTGGGGACACAGATGGCCGGGGCTCCGTGTTCTGTCCGGATGCCAGCGAATCCCTATCTGAGCTGCTCCACAGATCACGCACTGAGGAAGTCCTAGCTAGCTTGAAGCTCTGAATGCTGGGATCCAGCGGTGGTGCATCTAGGATGATGTACAGAAGCTTGTGTCTTCTGTCCAGCCAGAGCAAGCACCCAGTGACAATTACCCTGCAGGGTGTATGTGTGTCTGTAGCATAGCACCAGCCCCCTCCAGAAAATTCACACTCACTGAGGTGTTAGGTTTATTTTTGGTGTTGTTTTGTTTTGTTCCTTGTGATGGGGCTTAAACTCAGGGCCTAGACGCTCTTGCTTGGCTTTTCACTGTAGCATTTGAACCATGCCTCCAATTCTGGCTTCTAGTTGGTTCCTTGGAAATAAGAGTGTCACAAAATTTCTGCCTGGGCTGACTTTGAACTGTGATCCTCAGATTTTGGCCTCCTGCATAGTTAAGATGACAGTAGGTAAGAACCATTGACACTCAGCTGATTATTCATTTTAGTCTGGTTTTCTGCAAGAGAGCTGGCAGGCAAGTTGAGCTGTCGAAACAATTAAAAAAGTGAAAGCCCCTTCAGAGGTACCTTCTCCATGAGAAAGTTGGCTGGCGTTGGGGCACTGCTTGATAATTGGTTAGTGATGATGGATTAGTTCATCTCTCACATCCTGCCTACATCCCTTATGATCGCAGATTGTGGGCAAGCATGAAGTTAACTCAGGATAATAATAAGGATAACTCAGCAGGGTACTTTCCTCTGACAGATACAGATGTGTGTGTGTGTGTGTGTGTGTGTGTGTGTATGCACGCGCACGCATGCACGTACATGCCAAATAAGACTTGAACTGAAGTGTGGGCTCTGTTCTTGAGCTATTTTGCTCGAGGCTAGTAATTTACCACTTGAGCCACACCGCCATTTTTGGCGTTTCTTTTCTCTTCCTTTTTCTTTTTTAGTAGTTGATTAGAGATAAGAATCTCATGGACTTTCTTGCCCAGGTGGGCTTTGAACCATGATCCTTAGATCCCAGCCTCCTGAGGAGCTAGGATTATAGGTGTGAGCCACCTGCGCCCAGCCAGATGCAGAGATTTAAAATGCATAACGTATTATCTTTTATTTGAATTGACTTTTCCCTTTTGCCCTCATGCCTGGGACTTCAGGTGAGCCTCAGAGATCAACTCTGCATAGGAAGATGGGTGAAGGTATTCTTCCTTTCCCTCTCACCAGTGACTCAGAGGGGCAGTTGACTTAGGATCACTCATAGATAGTTGATAGAGATAAAATGGAAACTCAGAGTGCTCAGCTCTGAGATGAGGTATAAGGGAGGAAGTGGAGAGGTTAACTGTAAACTAAGGTGAGTTCACCTTACTAATAAAGTTCAAATCTCAGAAGTCAGGGAGTTAATGCTATGTATTTTGCCAGATTTGGGTGACATATAGGTGATTGTCCCAGGACTTATGCCCTAGAAGGTTCCATCATTGTTCCTTCCCAGGCCTGTTTAGGTCTGAAGCTCAAGCTGCAAAGTAAAAGGGAAGGGGAAGCATCTCCCCCTTCCCCCCCCCCCCCCCCCGTTTCCCCCAACTTTTAGCTCAGAACGCCAACATTGTGTTAAAAGTGAACACCAAAAGGCTCTCAACAGGGAGATTCCTTTCTTGTATACCAGACCCTGAAGGCCTGAGAAATTACATGAGTTTTTGAACAGGGTGGATATAAAGATTGGGAAGTCCATGGCCCAGTGGTCCCTTCAGGACCCAAAGCTTTGAGCATCCTTTGCTGCAAATGGCATGATCTCAACTTCCTTCCCCAGAGGACAAGTCAATTGATATAACCCTAGAGGCACTGCACAGGTAAAGGCCCAGAATCATGCTGGAAGCCTGGGCTGAGTATAGTATAGTTTCAAAGGCTCTTCATGGCCTCACAAAACAGCCCTGCCAGATAATTGTATTAGATGTGATGCCCAGTTTAGAAATGAGGAAACAGAGGGAAAATGTGATTTTTTTTTCCCCCTCCAGATCATATCATTAGTAGTCAAAGTAGAGCCCTTCTGTCATATGAAGTGAAGGATTCCAACATTAATCAAGCTGGACACCGGTGGCTCACACCTATCATCCTAGCTACTCAGGAAGCTGAGATCTGAAGATCATGGTTCAAAGCCAGCTTGGGCAGGAAAGTCCATGTGACTCTCTTATCTCCAATGAATCATCAAAAGCTGGAAGTGGAGACTGTGGCTGAAGTAATAGAATGCCAGCTTTGAGGGGGTGGGGGGAAAAGCCCAGAGATAGCGCTCAGGCCCTGAGTTCAAGCCCCAGGACCAGCAAAATAAAAAATTAATTAATTAATAATCACAAGTAGACAGAACCTACAGGTAGATCACATGCTACCAAAGAGAAGCAGACCATAGGGCAGGGGCTGCATATCAGCTATCAAACTTGGGAGAGAAGTGCTCTCAATAAGGCATTCACCAGAAGGCTGGTAATAAGAAGACAGAAGGAAAGCCAGAGAGAAGAGAACAGGAGTATGTAGATATGGTAGGACCAGCTGGGTTTTGACTATGTGAAGGAACACTGCCTTTCTCCCCAGAGTTGTAGGAAGTCACTAGTGGGTCTTGAACTAGCGTTCCTGGAAGGGAATGCCCAATGAACAGCACAGACAGGAAGAGTGTTAGGCTAACACGTAAGATCTTGATCTCATGAAATCTTTTCTTGGTTTCCTATCTTTTCTCATG